CCCCAAAACCCCAAAACCCCAAAACCCCGCAATACTTGTTAATGAGGAAATTAGTATTTCGGAATTAATAAAATTTTAATTAAGGCTTAGAAATCTGGGTTGATTTCAGGGTGCTTGATTTGGCAAACCCTGAACACTATCAAATTTAGCTTATCGAATAAAAGCTATTTCTTTATTAAGCGGCCTACATTTAGCACAATAAATTTTTGTGCTGGCTGGATATGCATCATAATATCTCACTTTGTATTTCGAGTAATTTCTGGCAATAGAGAACAAACTTTAAGAATTATTTTTGTCATAATCATCTTTATCAGGTAGGTCTTCCATATCAGAGGAGATACTCAAATCATCAACAACATTGAATTCCTTATTAACATTACTCCTTTATTTCTTAGTTGATTCACTTGAGCATTCATAATCAGAATAATCTTCATCAATGATCTGCATATCAGCAAATTCATCTTGATTAAGAGGTTTTATGGCAATAATAGGATCATCTGCAAAGTTAACATCGTCTAAAGGCAGATAGTCAAATCTAGTTCTTTTGATTGATTCAGTATCAAGATTTTAATTGAAGTGCTTTTAAAATTGCATACCTCTTAGCTTGTCTTAATACAAATCAAATGTGTGACCATTAAGCCAAGAGCAGATATGGTGGAAATAATCAGAATTATCATTTTTATGGTCATGACATGAGCTACAAGAAACAGTTACTCCTTTCTCAATATTGCAATAAACACATGGCTAGGTTTAAGTTTCATGCTAATATTTACTTTTTAGCTTGAACTATTAAAGCTCAATAATATTTCTATACTTTCCTACAGCCATACCACAAAAGGCATGATAATATGATTCTCCCTCATGCAAATAAAAATTGGGAATTTAATCGCATGACAAATCTACCTTTTTCATTAATCCTCCTTTCTTTTCACAAAATATACAAGTCAAGTTTTCATAATATATACTCAAGGCAGATTTCCTCATTATTTCTCCATTAAGAATAGCTCTATCTTTAATCTTGGAACCAACTGTATCTTTGATAATAGACCTTATCATCTATTCCTTGTATACTGAGAGTCTTAGATTCTTCTCATCAGCTCTTTGATGTTTGCATTTATCACAAAAAAATTACTCAATGAGGTCTTGAATTCCATAACACTTCGCATGCACTCCCAATTCACAAATCTCGCAAATAACTATAGGATTAGCATCAACAAGATCTGAATAGAAGCAAGCCTTACAACAGAACTTGACTTCTTTCATATTATTACTCTCATCACTAGGATTTATGCAATTGTAAGAATGTAATAGACTTCTTCTCACTAGTTGCCAAGTCATTCTCTCATGAAAATGATCATATAATTCAAATTTTTCAGCTTTTACAGCTAATTTTAACTGAGGGTCCACAATGACTTTATGATTGATCAGCTTATACAAAAGGCAATCAAATTATTATCTTGTTTGTCTAACTAATTAGTTTTGTTAATGAGCTAAAAGTAAAAGCCAAGTGTCAATCTCATCATAGGATTAGTAAATGTTGAGTCCGAAAGTTTAGTCAATATGAGTTTTAATTAATGATTCATTGATAACATCGTCTTCAATCAAATCTGTCTTTGAAATTGCTGTGAATGAACTTAACTAATATGACCTGTATGCTTGATTGACTTCAGATTTGGAAACAGTTACATTTTAAGCCTTTACTAAATTAAATGGTAAAATTTAGAATTATTTTTTTACATACTGTTGGAGAGCTTCAGATGATCTCTTAATATATTGTTCACTATGATGCTCCCTTGATTCTATTAGCAAGGAGTAATCTTAGTGTCTCTTTTTCTTCTTTTTAAACCATTAGTACAGCTATCTGTTGCTTCAAAAGTCAAATGAGATATTTAATTTTGATGTTCTAAAATAAGACTAAATGATTCTTTACCAAATTATTATTGGGTTGCTTATTGTGCTTTCTTTTTACTCTTATCCCTTTAATTAATGATAAACTCTTTCAATTCTTCTAAATCAACAATATCAAATTGATAGTCTTATAGCTTTCTTAGATCACTTGATTTCAAAAGCTTAAAGTACTCTTCATAAAAATCCCAATCCATAATGCCTTCATCTTAAAGTTAGTTCTTATTCTGGATCTATTAATTATTAATCAGTTCATCATCATCATTATTAGATTCTATTTGAACCTTTGATTCGTAATGCAAGAATTAATTATCTTTCTTAAATTTCTGCTTCACTTAACGTTTTGGGAGTTCTATTGTTCTTTGCGAAAAGTTGGCTTTAATTGGTCTTTTCCTTTTCTATAGAAGTGACTCACTTAATTTGACACTTTCTTCAATTTTATTGTGATAGGTAGTTTAAGTCTAAATTTTTTATGTTTGAGAGATGATATTAGTAGCAGCCTCTCTAGCTGGGATAAAATCCTTAATGTTTGAATGAGTTGGACATGCCAATAGTTTCCTTTAGAAATCTAATTTGCATTTCTTTATCAATGCACACGTTATATGTTAGTAGTTATTGCAATCCTAATGAAAACATTTCTTACAATATCCCTTACTATCACCGCAAATTATACATATATTTTGTAAAACTGATGATTAGTAAAGTTTCACTTGTGACACAGTTTGAAATTTACTTTCCCCTTCTATTATTCTTAAATTGGGATTGTATAGACAACAGAGAATGTGACACCATTTAGATTAATCATCATTAAATGATATAAATGCGCCCTTTAGCTAGGGGCAGAGCTGGCAAGCCTCAGTTAAAGGATCCATATTTAGCTAGATCAAACATTGACACTTTTCACACTAAAACTTCTCAGAACTAGTGTCTTTTTTATTAACTATTTTAAAATAGCAAGGAAGATGATAGGTATTAAGGCAAGTTTTGCAATTTTTAAGTGAATTTTCTTCTGCATCCTCTCCACAGTTATGGCACTTTTTCTGTTTTTTTGGCTGTTTAACTGCTTCTTGATTTAATGAAGTATTTTCATCTTATAAGCTATAAGTCTTACCACTTATATTAGATTCACTCTTCGTTTCCTCGGTCATAGAATCATGAGTAGTAGATTTTGAGATATTCTTTAATGTTTTGGGAGATTAATAAGCCTCGTTACCTTCACTTTGCTTTAATAAAGATGATTTGACCTTAATATTAGGTTATATTGTTATTTTAGCATTATCCCCAAAGATCAGTTGCTTTAACTAGTTAGGAGTTTAATCCACTGATACTTGATGAGCGCTGCATCCATATCCAATTTTATCAAGCCCATCGATTTAATAATTCACCATTTGTTTTTTTTTACTAGACTCAACTTTAGCTTACGCACAACTCTAATGAAATACTTTTAAGCATCCTCTAAATAATGTCAAGCAATAACTGATACTTACTTAAACATACAAGAAAGCAATGGAATCGAATCGGCATCAATATTGCAAAAGTCACATTCCCCAAGTATTTTTTCATCATTTAATGCAGTTGCTTAAAATCTCCATCAATGGTCTGCTGATGATGTGACAAGGCTTATTTCTGGGTGATACTTAGCACATTAAATATGTATCCAAGATTAGCCTTAAGATAAGAAGTTTAGAGCCTGTTTTAAATAACTCTTGTCTGAATTCTTCTGGCATATGATGCAAACAACAGTCTATATATCAGCTGGTTTTAATCTGCCTTGCTTGATTAGAAAACAAATATCACAGAAGAAGGCTTTAACTTTATTGGCATTCCCATCTATTGAATAATAATTCTCAGCACATTTCTATTAGTTAGGTAAAGATTGAAATCAGTTACTTAATGAAAAGAAGTTTCGCAGGATTCACAACTTAGTAAATAGTTATTCTTCTGCTATTTTGACTGATTGAAGCACAAACCGCACTTATTAGAATTTTGACTCATTAAATTACTTATATTCATTTAATATTTATTATAGCAAAATAAGTAGAGTATTATGTGTGTATGGGGTTTTGGGGTTTTGGGG